GTCCACCCCAGGGCGGGCAGTGCGGGGTCTGCAGGTGCCACTGGGGTGGGAAGTGGGGGGGAGGTCTGTGAGGGGTCCGCACCTGCCCACCCCCCTTCCCCAGGAGGGGCGGGGGATCTGTGCCTGCCCTCCCCCAAAAAGCTGGGCGATGGGAGTTTGTGCCAGACTGCCCCCCGCCCCGGGTGGGAGGTGGGGACTGTGCCCGTCCCCCAGGGCGGTTGGGGGTTCCAGCCCCAAAACACTCATCTTCCCTCCTGTCACCCAGTGCCTGGATGGGGTTGACTATGACTTCGGTTTCGTATCCCACATGATGGAGCAGAAGGAGCCCCTGATGCAGACAGGTAAGGGCCCCTCTGGCTGTGCCCTCCTGGGGGTCCCCGGCTGCAGTGGGGTTTCCCGGCGGGCTGACTCACGCCTCGTAGTTCCCAGCAGCACCATGGGCTGTGTCCCCGCTGGCCCCACTGTGGGCTGGCTGGGAATCCCTGCCCGTGCCACCGGGCTGGGGACTGTTTGGTCTGGGTCTGCTGCTCTGTCTACCAGGGACTTGAGGTTGGGCTGTGATGGGTCCCCGGGGGCTCCCCGCTCCCCGAGTGCCAGAGCATCCTCTGGCCCTTCCCTCCTCTCCCTGCTGCTCTGACTGCTGCTCCTGGCCGGGCCCTGACAGCACAGGGGCCGGGGGCCCTGAGTACCCCTATGGGACAGACAGGGGTCAGTTTATCTTCAGCACCGTCCCCGTACCTCCAGCACCCTTACTGGGAGCATGCACTGTGTTTCTCACTGGTGCTTTGGTTATCCCGTGTTTCTCTTCCTTCAGTGGAAGGTCCCTACCTTGTCATCATCGAGCAGCCAAAGCAGGTAAGGACGTCACCCAGGTAAGGGCAGGCATAGCTGTCACCCCCTGCTCTCACGGCATCGGGTGTGGGCCACCCTTGGCTGACTCTCTCTTTGCCTCTGCAGCGGGGATTCCGGTTTCGGTACGGCTGCGAGGGCCCTTCACATGGGGGGCTGCCGGGAGCATCCAGCGAGAAGGGGCGCAAGACCTATCCCACTGTCAAGGTGAGCGCTGCCCTGGGGAGGGAATGGGGCAGCATCCTCAGCCAGTGTGTGCGAGCACCGGGAGGGTGCCTCGAAGGAAGAACGTGACCTTAAGCTCTGCGCGTCTCCTGGCTCTGGAGGGATGGGAGGGCTGCAGCAGGAGGGGTGGTGGCCGTGGGGAGGAATAGCAGGGGTTTGTGGAGAGTCCTGCAGGCTCCCGGGATATTGTATCTGACTCCCATCTCCTTTCTCCCCGCAGATCTGCAACTATACAGGGATGGCCCGGATTGAGGTGGACCTGGTGACACACAGTGACCCTCCCCGTGTGCATGCCCACAGCCTGGTGGGAAAGCAGTGCAATGAGGCTGGCAATTGCATTGCGATCGTGGGACCCAAGGACATGACAGCTCAGTGCGTGTGGAGGGAGACCCAGGGTGGCCTCTTGCCTACACGGGGTGGCTGGGGGGCTGTCTGCAGCTTATGGACTGGGGAGAAGAGGAGGGTTAGTGCATTCAGGAGCTGGGTTTGCTGGATGGGGCCAGGAGCGGGTTTAGACGAGGCCATCGGTACAGCTCTGTCCCCTGAGCATTTTGCCCAGCTCTGTATCCGGCATGTGCGGCTTGTTTTGAGCTTCTGTCCTCGGCGTTGTAGCTCCCCGGCTTTGCAGATGAGATCTGCATCCAGCCTGAGTGGCGGGGTTATTCGGTCAGCGCTGGCAGGCGGCTCCCTGCCCAGGCAGCTGCTGAGGCAG